AAGATAATAGACAATGTAGTGAATATAATCAATTGATGAATTTGTATCTAAAAATTTTTACATTTGAGAAAAATAAAGACAATATAACTAATGAAAATATTTCTCTTAATTAATTTATTGATAATGAATAATTTTTTTTCACTGAATTAAGACATTGTAAGGACAATGTAGCAAATATAATCAATTAATAAATTTGAATATAAAGAATTTTTATATTGTAGAAAAATAAAGACAATATAACTAACACAATTATTTCTCTTATTTAATTTATTGATAATGAATAATTTTTTTTTGAATAAAGGCATTGTGGACATATAATTCTAAATTAAAGAAATGCATATCTATAATTTTTTGTTGTAGCTAATAAATTATTATTTATATAATTTAATAAGAGTAAAATAGAGTATTAATTATGCCAACTTTGATTGGGATGAGGTTCGAACCTAAGACTTTTTTTTTTATTATTGAAATCAATGAGTAAGTTAACGGTGAACTAACGGCAATTCTTAAAATTTTAACGGAATTAGTAACGGTGTGTGGGTATTTTAGGAAATTTTAGTGTAAAATTTAAATCTGATCAATCTTTTAATCAATCCGAGCCATTCATTTGATTAAAATCTGTGACCGCCATTTTTTCTACCCATTATAGGCCTAACTCTCTTGGGCTCTTATTAATATACTAGTTTTTTACGCGCATTGCGCGATTGGGATAATGCCCAATGTTTTTTTTAAATAAGTACTTTAAAGTATATTAAGGCAATATTATATTGAAATTGTTCATGCATAGATAATTGAAGGTTGAATTTACGTATTTAAATAGGTAATTCTTCTCCCAAAGGTTGAGTCCCCTACCCCAAGGGCCCCCCACACTCTGACCCGACAGAGCATTGTAGAAAGTTGTAAATCACGGTGACTCAATGGTTCAGTAGACAGGACCAAATGCCGGTGCGAACAAGGAATCTGCCCACTTTGGACATAATTCCCGCACTGCCGCCGCCGAGGTTCAAACCTTGGTCTCTTCTCCCAAATACTGCCCACTAAACCATTGAGCTAAGCTCATGCGGGTTAAATAGGTAATTCTAAGTTTACAAATGCAAGATAATATAGTAAAGATTGATTATAATTGTCAATAAAATAATTGTATAGGTATGGTTGAAACCAAATACGGGACATAAGGGAGAACAAATAAAAATTAGGGCATAAAATATTAAATATATACTAATATTGTTTGAGGAGATTCCGACATTAGGATTTGTGGTTAAGTTCTATTAAGACTTTAATATTAGAATTAGATTAAATAATTCTATATTAGACGTTAATATTATAATTAGACTAACGGTGAATTAACGGTATTTAACGGAAAAGTTAAATGGATAATCATATAATTAAGGATAAATTAGAAATTTTTTTTAAAAAATTAAAACCTGAACAATTTGAACCATTCATTTGATTTAATAATTTGGCGGTCATTTTTTCTACCCAATGTTAATAATTAAATAAATTCGTTGGTCAAATCCGCTAATATAATCCGCGCGCTAACTGCTGATTGTCAAACAAGGACATTGCAAGGTAGTTCTCACTTCAATTTGTTGTGTGATTTGAATACTCTCTTTGTCACAAAATCTCTCAAGTAGTTAATATGGTTGGCTTTATTAATTATATATATATTTTTTATTTTTTTCATGATATTAATAAAATACTTGGTAAATAAATATATAGCATTATTTTGTATTATAATTTTGATATTTAATTAGAAAAATAGTGCACAAAAAAGATAATAGACAATGTAGTGAATATAATCAATTGATGAATTTGAATGTAAAAATTTTTACATTTGAGAAAAATAAAGACAATATAACTAATGAAAATATTTCTCTTAATTAATTTATTGATAATGAATAATTTTTTTTTCACTGAATTAAGACATTGTAAGGACAATGTAGCGAATATAATCAATTAATAAATTTGAATATAAAGAATTTTTATATTGTAGAAAAATAAAGACAATATAACTAATACAATTATTTCTCTTATTTAATTTATTGATAATGAATAATTTTTTTTTTGAATAAAGGCATTGTGGACACATAATTCTAAATTAAAGAAATGCATATCTATAATTTTTTGTTGTAGCTACTAAATTATTATTTATATAATTTAATAAGAGTAAAATAAAGTACTAATTATGCCAACTTTGATTGGGATGAGGTTCGAACCTAAGACTTTTTTATTTTTTATTTTTTATTTATTTTATTTTTTTTATTGAAATCAATGAGTAAGTTAACGGTGAACTAACGGCAATTCTTAAAATTTTAACGGAATTAGTAACGGTGTGTAGGTATTTTAGGAAATTTTAGTGTAAAATTTAAATCTTATCAATCTTTTAATCAATCTGAGCCATTCATTTGATTAAAATCTGTGACCGCCATTTTTTCTACCCATTATAGGCCTAACTCTCTTGGGCTCTTATTAGTATATATATATATATATATATATATATATATATATATATATATATATATATATATATATATATATATATATATATATAATATAATATAATATAATAGTAGATAGATATTACATACTCATCTTGTGATGTATATATTTTTTTTTTTGTTTTTCTTGTGATGTATATATATGTATTACTTGTTTGAAATTTTTTATTTGAATTCTATCTACAAATTTAATAACACTAAAAAAAAAGTTATATATGTAACAATAATAATCATTTTTTTTTTTAAAGAGACGAGCATCAATAGAATTGACAAATAAGAATTTTGTGATTACCACGGTATTGAATTAAAATTTATAAAAAACCCAACAACTTTAAAACTTTTGTAAACAAGATAAAAACAAAGGAAAATAAGTAGCCATCAATGTTCATTTCCAAAAGTTTTGTTTGTATATCCCTTGACATTTGGAAATGAAAATAGATATACATACAATGTCATATGTCATCAATGTATATCCCTTTACATTTCACCTACCAATCTATTATTCTATATTTCTATATATGAATTCAATCACCTCTTTCAATTCTACTTATTTCACAATCAAAGTTTTATTATTATTATTATTACTAGTATTTGTCCCGTGCGATGCACGGAAAATATGTTATAAAAATATACTCTATATGAAGTTTATTCATATATAAAATTTTTGTTATTTAATAATTATTATGTGTGAATTCCTATGATAAAATTATGAACATAAATATATTTACAATTAAAATAATATTTAAGGTGAGTGATTACTACAAATCTTAAACTATATAAAAAATTTAGTACATAGTATTTAATATTATAAATTTTTAAGAACTTAGTAAACTACAATAGTAATTGAATTACAATTTTAGAGTTACCACGGATCAAAATTTTTAGACCTTTGAGATTCCTAACTCTAGATGTAGCAACATACAATTGACCTTTAAACACCAAAATCACAATCTTAGTTCAAACATTAAATTTTTCTTCCAAATACTATCGAATTAAGTGTGTAATCAATAAAAGATGAGAACTAATAATTCGAGAATATAATCTTAATGTTACTAAGCTTACTTCACGTCAATTAAGTTGGAGAGTGTTGTTGGGTAGTACGTATTCGATCCGATGAATCCACGAATAACGCATCTTTGTCTCCGTAGTCCTCAATATGCACATCAACAATTTAAATATTAGGCCGCCTAGCTATGCCATATATTAATTTCAAACTTATGAACTTTGGGGTTGCATGCAATAAAAAGTATATTTTAAATATACTAAGGGTACATTATATATGTATGTAAGGTACTTTCAATATAAAAATAATGTATTTTTAATATATTAAAAATATATTTGATATTCATGATCCATACAATTATGTGGACCATCGTTCACACAATAATTTGCCAGTAGAAATTGAAATATATATATATATATATATATATATATATATATATATATATATATATTAGAAACTGCCAGTGGAAATTATTATCATTATTATTATTATTACAATTATTGTTATTATAATTAACAATATTATTATGGTCTTGTGAAAATTAAATATTGATTATCACCATTTAATTTTCACAAGACCATATGACTTTATTATATATAGGATTATTATTATTATTATTATTATTATTTTTATTATTATCATTATCATTATCATTATCATTATACTGTATACGTTAATTTTCTGTTTTTAGTTTAACGTATACTTTAATTTTCTGTTTTTAGTTTTCATTCTGTCTTTGATTTAAAAAATTTGTTTACTGATACTTATTTTTTTAAAATTAATTTGTACACAATAATGTTTTAAAATTAAAACAAGTCTAATTTTAATTAAGTGATTTTGTAGACATCATACTTAAAATATTTTTTTTGGATATTTTTAGATTAAATTGAACAAATATGCTTCTTTTTTTTTTTTTTTTTTTTTTTTTTTTTTTCTTTTTAAACTTTTGAGTCTAATAACTGAAAGATTTTAATATCTGATATTCGAACAAAATCTATATCTAGATATAACATAACTAAAATATTTGAACCAAGAACATATCGACTTTGCATAAAATTGAAAAAATCAATTTGAATTTAGAGTTTTTGTGTAGATAATATGAATATTGTTGGTCCCGGTGAGGGTTAGGGTTCAAGTCTAGAGAAGGGGAGGGGGGAGGGGGGGAGGGTAAATAGACTTGAAGAGTTTTTGAAACCCTCGTGAATGGTTAAAGCAACCGAGAGGTGACTTTAACTACTCGGTCAAAATGCACAGCGGAAAATGTTTGTTAAGAAATGGTCACCGTACAATAGGGTGCAAGTGGGTATATCGTATCAAACGGAGGTCGGATGGAATGATAGATCGCTACAAGGCACACCTAGTTGCAAAGGGGTTCTTACAGGAATCTGGACGTGACTATTTTGAAGCTTTTAGTCCTATCATGAATCCTGTAACCATACGAGTTATTCTAATTGTTACTTTGAGTCGCAGGTTGAAAATACGGCAATTAGACGTCAACAATGTCTTTCTCCATGGAACTCTATATGAAGATGTCTATATGGAACAGTACAGCCGCGGGGTATCATGATGCTCAATTTCCTTCGGTTGTTTGCAAACTTCGTAAGGCACTGTATGGTTTCAAGCAGGCCCACATGCCTGGTATTTGGAATTGTCAAAATTTTTTGTGTCAGCAAGTTTTGCACGCTCCAAGGCAGATACTTCTCTATTTGTCTACACGTCCAATAATGTCATTGCATATTTTATGGTGTATGTTGACGACATTATTCTCACTAGAAATAATGTCGGTTTTCTAGATAATTTTGTAATGACACTGCTAACAGGTTTTCTCTAAAAGATCTTGGTCCACTTCACTACTTCTTGGGTGTTGATGTGATTCTTATGACTCTTGGTTTTTTTTTTTTTGTCACAAGGGCATTATTTGGCAGATATTCTCTCTCGATTCAAGATGGAGGGTGCGAAGCCCGTGTCTACCCATATGGCTGCGGACTATGTATCAGGTGATGAGACTAGCTTAGTGGTTGATGCTACTGATTATCGTCGCTTAATTGGGCTGCTGCAATATCTTCTCATCACTCGGCCAGATGTAGCGTATGCTGTGAATAAGCTAGCTCAATCCATGCATGCGCCTACGACAGAACACTGGCAAGGGGCAAATCGTGTTCTAAGGTATTTGAAAGGTACAGTTCATCATGGTTTATTGTTAGAATATGATGCACCTTTGCGTTTGGTGGCCTTTTATAATTCGGATTGGGGCAACTTACGAGACAAGGGACGGTCTACAACCGCTTATGTTATTTATCTTGGGGGTAATGTCATCTCTTGGAAGTCTTCGCGTCAGAAGGAGGTATCTAGGTCTTCAACGTACGGAGGCCGAATACCGAGCTTTGGCGCACGGTGATGCTGAACTTGTTTGGGTTCAGAATTTGTTACGAGAAGCCAGGGTTCACTTGATTACTTGAACTGCCATCTCAGCTGTGTGATAATCTTGGGGCGACTTATGTTTGTAAGAATCCGGTTTTTCGCTCAAGAATGAAGCATCTTTCTTTAGACTATTTTTTTGTCCGCAATATGGTCGCTGCAGAGTCTCTATTTGTGTGTCATGTCTCTGCTAATGGTCAAGTTGCAGATGTGTAAACTAAGCCATTGGGTCAAGCACGCTTTCAGCGATTCAGGTCAAAGATTGGAGTAACTGATGGTTCCTCCATCTTGAGGGGGCGTATTAAGAAATAATATTTGTATGCTTTATTATATTAATTTAGTCTAGGCAGTTATATTTCCTCTCTTAGAATTAGTCCAGAGTTGTTACTAGCAGCTCCTATTTATACCTTGTATCCTTCTGTGATTCATTGAATAAAATCATTCACTCTTCCATCATTATTAATGGAGTGCATTCTTAGTTATCCGCGAATGGACTATCAAATAATTCCAAATGGACGGATGTGATTATTGATCTGCAATTTTTACCCATTGGGCTTGTTCTCTTTTCAATTTTTTTACAACAAAATACTTGAAATTTGGAAATTATTGGTTGCAACCTCCATCCACCGCTCATTGTCGATGATCTAGCCATCCAAAATTTCCGATGACCTTTTCAATTGATGGTCCGTGGTCGGTAATAGTGGCAAACATATTTGAGCAGAAAATTATTAGTCAAAAAATCAATTTCTGATCTTAAGCTCTTACTTTTTGACTACTTTTCAATGATAAAATAATTGACAATTTCAATTTATTTATCATCTACATTTATGAAATTTTTTTAGTTTTTAATGGCTAACAACATCTAACAACTAATTAATGTAGCACTTATTTTCTAACTTAATAGCAAGCAAAGTGAGTGAAGAAGATTTTGAACTTGTACTATTGTAATTTGTAAATATGGGTTAATTTTGTGCTTAAACAAATAATCATAGTTTTGAACTTCTTGAACTATTATTATTTTTTAAAAAAAAAATTATATAAATTCATGCGCACATGATAATATTAATAGATATTAATATATTAGATACTTAGATCATCACTTTTACGAGTATATATCAAATACCTCCAACTACTCCTCTTTATTATTTTATAATTGTTGCATTTGCCTTATGGTTATATATAACACAACTTTCAACAAATAAATAATATTGTCACAACTTTCAAAAAAAAAAAAAAATTGTCACAATTAAATATTGTAATGTGACATATCATCAAATGTACATTACTGTTATGTCCTTATTGAACAAAGATGGATCGGATTAGGGGGTATAATCTATATTAAACAAACGAGGGCAGCTATAAACCGAACAAAAGGATTGTATGCTCAATAGCAACAAGAGCAAAATGGTTGCCAGCACGATGAGAATCCTCCAAGAACCATAGATATATGACTTCATAAATTTCCCTGCTTTGACCTTCCATCTACCATTGTAGTACTTATTCACATCTTCAATCGTCTTGTCTATTAAGGGCACTTTCGTCAATCTAATAGATTTGCTCATCCCATTCCATAGGTTTGCCACTTCTTCATCATTCTTCAAATGGTTCAAAAGAATCCCCTTATCCCTAAGAACCTTGGTATCCCTCTCGGAGTCGATAATCCCATTCATTAACTCAGTGTAACGGGAAAAAACTAACGGTCCACTAGCCATGCACGACTCGTAGGCAACGATGTTTCTCAACACGAATTGTGAGTTTACGTCTAAATTGATCCTAGGGAGATAGAGCGTTGTAGTTTTCGAGTCAAAAGCAATACCCAGAATCCCTGAATCCGTAGGCAAGAATCGAACTCCTGACTTTACGAGCTTGTATACAGATGGAATGCTTATCTCTTCCACTAATGGAGGTCTTTTGGAACTGTTGTCATCATCTGACTTTTTGCTTCCTTGGGTGGCCGGAGACAGGCGGCGTTTCAAGCTTTTAACTCCGGGGAGAGCACCAATAACGTCCCATGGTAAATTCACAATTACCCTAAAAACACGTACCGGTGCACTCTTAACCTTGGAAAGAATTTTCCAAATTTCTTGAACAAACCTCTTGAGATTGGTGGAGCCGCCGAGGGATTTAGCTTCTTCGCCGTCGTCTCCATAAACAATATTTCCACTGCTTTGCTCTTCTGAATCTTGTGCTTCTTGGCATGGCGCGTCCATATTCGGGACCATTGCTTTGTACAGAAAGTCAAGCAAATGCGCACAGCCGTCAAGTGGGACTTTGGCCATCTCTTCTTCCGACACATTCACCAACGGCGAAAGATCTTTGCACAGCCCCGACAACATGGTAAGCAACATGTCGGCGGCAGATGACGAGGATTCCCATTCCAACAGTTTCCTTAAAATAAACAATGGGATTTGATTCTCCAGCATCACAATATCCCTTAACATCACATTGTGGGCCGATTTCCTCCCAGAAACATCGACCATATGCGACATCCTGGTGGGGAGTCTGGCGAAACACTTGCCTTGTTTCACCGCGTAAACGCGGAGAAATTCGAGCAAGAAACAGGCGTCCATGACCACCATCCACGCCAAAGTATCATCGTTAATACTCAAGTACTTGTCGTATGAGGCTCTAATCCTAGGTACGCTGAGTGTCCTGAGCTCATCGACGAGGTCTTGAAATTTGCGGCCGTCGGCGAGGGTTTTGGAGAAGCGCTTGGCTGCGTCGAGCTTGTATTTCTCCATCTCGTACAGCTCCGGGCGCCAGTAGTGGTAAGGGCCGATGGCTATCTGGTGGGGGGTGTAGGAAAGCGGATCGGAGAGCAATAGGATTTTGGGGACGTTGAAAATGGTGGCCGGGGTTTCGTCGTCTTCTTCGAGTTCTTGGATGAATGATTCTTTGATTTGGATAATCCATCGAGTTTCGTCTGGATTGGAGGCCATGGATGCTGGAAAAATTGACATGTTCGCTGCACTGGCGTTCTGGGAATATCCTCGATCTGGCAATTCAAAGAAGATAATATAATATGAATGGCTGCTGCTTATCCGGTGCCAATGTTAACTTTAATAATAATATATATACCTCTTTGGTAAATAGTTAGTCTATCAGTCCATTTTGACTTATTTTACCACTATTAGTTGTTTGACAAGTGTTTAATTAATTAGTTTTTTGTAACAACTTATACTCCAAAAAGTTAAAATTCAAAAATCTGCTCAAAGTAGTTTTATCCATAAGCTTATTGATAAAGTCATTTTGTATGTAATCAGCTAACATCTAACAACTGATTTACCAAACATTTTTCTACAATCAACTAATGCTATCAACTAGTCAACTAACCAATAAGCTAACAGTCATATATCAAACACCTCCATAGTTGGACTTATAGTTATCTATTAATCTTCTTAGTTATTGGATCAATTATATCCATTACCTCTGTTAACTTTAATAATAATCTTTCTTTTATCTATTTTGTAAGACTTTTATATATGTACTTTGAAAAGTTTGGAGATTTAATACAAATTTTTAGAGAATATTTAAAAATAACAGTATTCAATTAAGAGTTTTAAAAGTTTTTAGAAGTCCATGGTATTGATTCTATTGAATTAGGATTGTTAAAGACCAAGACACTGAGTGGATGGTATTAAAAAATTATGAACTTTTACACCTCTTTTTAAGCTATATATGTCATCTAAGCTAATTTATTATCATTTACAGATTAAAATCACAAATTCAATTACTTAATAAATCATTAAATAGTGATTATTGATTTCTCTTACCACCCAAACAAAATATCGTTAAACATATAAAATGCAGTCGCCTAATCACCACTTAATTTACCAGATGGTAGCTTTTGAACAGTTCAACAGCCAAAAGTTGACCTTCCGTCCCAAGTCTATGAGGCCTTAATTGTTAATTTGTTATTCTCGCGTGGTCCTAACTAGTATTTGTCATTTGGCAAAGACATTATAGTTCTCCAATAGAAAAACGTAATAATAAATAAGGAAAACGATACTTTTAGTTAGAAGAAAAAGAAAAAGTAGAAATTAATTTATCGTTTTTTCTAATGTTATTTGTAGGTTATTATGTATGAATGATATTTACGTAGTATACTTTTAAGTAGTGGTTATGAATTTTTCTTTCACTTAACAAAAATAAAAATACAATTATATGTAGATTTCTTTAATTTGAAAAACACAATATCGAGAAAGAAAAAAATGAAGATTTGAAATAAACATATTACTATTTCAAAAAACACTGCTGAAAGTTATGAAATTTGCGAACACCTGAAAGTGATCTTAAATCAAGTCGAAAGCAAAAAGTAGTCGGAAATAGCAACAAAGATTTTTCCAGATACCAAATGTGGTCGGAACAAGGCATTCAATTTAATTTAAGATCACTTTCAGGTGGTCGGAAATTTCATAATTTCCAATTCCCAGCAGTGAAAAAAAAAAAGGTAAACAGATTAGTTTTTTTATTATTATTATTATGACAACAATGTCAATTTAATCCTTTAATTTGTTATTTTTTATTTTGTTAACTAGGTTTCATAAAAAAAAATCATATGGATTTAATTTGCAACACTTACATCACTTAACTAATAACATAGGGACTAAAGAATTAATATCTACCTATCGCACAATAGAATCGTGAGGAAGTGCTCCGCAATAGTCGCCACCTCCGATCGTGATCGGCAATCATCTTCCTCCACAGTGGCCCTCTCTCTCGTACGTGTGCTGAGAGAGTGATCTCCCTAGGCTTCTAGGGCTCTATTTATTTGTGCTTCCGATGGCGTTTATGATATTGTTATGCGCTTGGTGTTTCTTATTTCCGATTACGCATCAATCCTACCCCCGCATCATGGATACCACTCAGATCGAAAAATAGTGTGGCGAGCTATCTCTCATCGACGAAGAAACCGGAGGGCTAGAGGCACCGGAGGTGCCATCGCTTCCGGATGCAACGATCCAGCATAACTTGGTTGGACGTCTCCTCACGGATTGGCAGATCAGATTTGAACATATGCAACAGGTTTTCGCGGCTGCATGGAGACCGGTCATGGGCATGCATGCGATTGCGCTGGCGGATGATCTCTTTTTATTCCAGTTTCCACACCCGCGTGATCTCCAGAGAGTCATTGATGACGGCCCGTGGTCCTTCGAAAACAGCCTGTTGATCTGCGATCATGTACCATCGGGTTCGCGACTGGAAGACGTCAAGCTGGATGGCGTCTCGTTCTGGATTCAGATCCACGGCCTACCGGCCATGTACGCATCTCCCGAGTTCATTGCTAAGATCGGTGACTATATTGGGCCCTTCATAATGGCAGATCCGTTCAACTTCGGTGGATCCTGGAAGAGCTATTACCGTATTCGGGTGCGGTTGAATGTGGCGACGCCCCTCAAATGTCGCATGAAATTGTTTTGCAGGGACGGATCTATGCAGTGGCTGAGGTTCAAGTATGAAAGGCTGAGTACCTTTTGTTACTGCTGTGGAATTCTTGGGCACTCGGACAAATTCTGTCGCACTGTGTATGATGAAGGCATTCTACCTGAGGCCTTCCCGTTCGGGGCTTGGATGAGAGCAGGTCCGAAGCGACAGGTCAAGCCAATCGGAGCCAGATGGCTATTGACTCCTTCAACTGCGCAGGTGGGGCAGTCTGCTCTCCCTCCATCGGGGCCTTCGCCGACCGTATTGGCGGAGATGGAAGCTTTAGGTGAGATCCAGGGTGATCTCAAACGCAGAAGGGAGGATGTGGACATTATCCTTCCGGGATCAGATATAACAATGACTGAGACATAAAAAAACAATGGGATGGCGGGTCTGGAGGATCAGACTCGCCAGGACAGATGAGTTTCATCAGTTGGAACTGTCGGGGTTTGGGCGGTACCCGATCAGTTCGTGAGCTTTTGGATATGATATCCAAATACCGACCCATGTTTGTCTTCTTAATGGAGACAAAGGCGACTGGTACCAAGATTGAAGAATTGCGAGTGCAGATGGGATTTGATGGTAAAGTATGCGTCGAACGCACAGGTTATGGTGGAGGCCTGGCATTTCTCTGGCGTGAAACCAGAGGAACCGGAAAGAACGAGACGTCACATTACTTGGGATCTTTTACGTCAACTTAAAACCCGTTCATCCCTTCCTTGGGTGGTGGCGGGTGACTTCAACGACAATGCATGTTTTTCGGAGAAGAGAGGTACACATCCCCACCCGGCAGCTCTCATTGAGGGCTTCAATGATGCTTTAGGGGACTGTCAACTCACGGACCTCGGTATGACGGGAGGACGTTTTACGTGGACGAAGGGGCGGGAAACGGACGCATGGGTGGAGGAACGCCTCGACCGAGCTATGGCTTCTATCGAATGGATGGACATCCACGAGGAGACCGCTATTTATAACCATTTTGCTAGGTCCTCTGACCATTGTGCTATTGTGGTTACCTTGGACGCTAGACATGCCCGGGCGACTATGCGCTCCTTCAAGTTTGAATCAGCTTGGTTGCTGGAAGAGGGGTGTGCCAAGATTGTGACTGAAGCATGGAGACTATCCTCAGGCATGGATTTCCAGGCTCGGTTGGCGAACTGTGGTGAAAATCTAAAGTGATGGGGCGGGGAACACCACCGAAAATTTGGCTCTCGCATCCAACAGTTGCGTCGCACGCTGGACAGATTACGAGAGGATCGCACCCCCCATGCTGTGACCGAATTTATGAAAGCAGATGATGAGCTGGAGAGGACACTGCTTGCGGAGGAAGTTTTCTGGAAACAAAGATCGAAGCAGTTATGGCTCAAACACGGTGATGCCAATACGAAGTATTTTCACAAGTCCGCCACGGCACGACGCAAACGAAATTTATTGACGAGGCTTAAAGATCCGGATGACGTCTGGAGAGAGGGCGATGCAATGAATGCTGAAGTCCTGAGGTATTTTAACTCTATTTTCCACTCCAGTACATGTAGTGCGGATCTTTTTCACCGGGTTCGGGAACGGGTGACAAATGAGATGAATATGTCTCTTAAACAACCGTTTACGATCGCCGAAGTGAAAACTGCCCTTTTTGACATGGCGCCTGAAAAGGCCCCCGGCCCGGACGGCATGTCACCGGCCTTTTTTCAACATTTCTGGCCGGTAGTTGGGCATGATCTGGCCGTTTTCATAATTAAGTGTGTGGAAACGAAGAACTTCCCGGCGGGACTAAATGAGGCTAATATCGTGCTAATCCCCAAGAATTCCAATCCGACCAAAGTAGTGGACCTACGTCCGATTGCTCTATGTAACGTAGTTTACAAAGTTTTAGCCAAGATGCTGGCTAACAGGCTGAAAGGGATTTTGGAACACATTATTTCTCAATCCCAAAGTGCTTTTGTTCCAAATCGGCTTTTAATAGACAACATCTTAGTAGCCGGGGAAATTGGACATTACTTGCGGAGGAAAACGGGGGGTATAGTAGGCTGGGCTGCGCTAAAGCTTGATATGGCTAAAGCGTATGATAGGATGGAATGGTCCTTCCTGGAGGGGATGTTGAGGGCGTTAGGCTTTGAGAGGGATTGGGTGAATTTATTGATGTTCTGTGTTACTTCTGTCAATTACTCTATTCTAGTGAATGGAGTGAGTGCGGGGCAGGTGTGTCCTACACGGGGGATCAGACAAGGGGACCCATTGTCACCTTACCTTTTCATCATCTTTGCTGAGGGTCTCTCTATCCTACTGCAACAAGCAGAGGGTCGGGGGGATATACATGGGGTGAAGGTGGCTCGTGGAGCTCCGGCCATCACCCACCTGCTTTTCGCTGACGATAGTCTATTGTTTTTCAGGGCCACCCAACAGGAAGCACGACAATCAAGTCTTGCCTAGATCTCTATTGCATGGCGTCAGGGCAATTAATAAACTACGACAAATCCAATGCAATTTTTAGTTCCAATACAACTGCTCAGGTGCGGGAACGGGTCTCTATGTTGTTTGGGGTCCACGAAGCCACGGACCTAGGCCGTTATCTAGGCCTTCCTTCTGTTTTTGGGCGAAACAAGATAGCAGTTTTCAAATATATTGAGGACAATATTCGGGCACGTATTGGGGCGTGGCAACACAGATTCTTATCTCGGGCGGGGAAAGAAATCCTTTTAAAGAGTATTGCACAAGCACTCCCGATTTTCACTATGTCTGTCTACCTCCTTCCGTTACGTGTCTGTGACACGTTAGAAAAGATGTTCAATCGCTTCTGGTGGAATGGCGGAGGTAATGGAAGCCGGGGAATTCATTGGCTAAGCTGGGATAGAATGTGTAAGCCTAAATCACAAGGGGGACTGGGTTTCAAGAAACTGCACAGTTTCAATGTTGCGCTTTTAGCGAAACAAGGATGGCGTCTTTTGACTCAGCCCGAATCATTGGTGAGCAGGCTTATGAAGGCAAAGTACTACCCGCTTACGAACTTCTTGGAGGCTCAAATTGGCGGAAACCCCAGCTACCTGTGGCGTAGTATAATGGCTGGACAGGAAGTGTTACGGAAGGGCATAGCGCGGCGTATTGGCAACGGGATGGATACTAAGATCTGGGGCTGGCATTGGCTCGCAGACTCTTCTTCCAACCCCTTAATCACACCACACATTGACGAGTTAAGAGAAGCAACGGTTCACGACCTTCTCGATGAACACGGTCGATGGGACGAAGCGTTGATCCGTGATATATTTCAAGAGGAAGATATTCCCAAAATTATGGCAACCCTGGCAAACATCCTCTTCACTGACAGCTGGCGTTGGATTGGCGACATCAGAGGTTGTTATACCGTTCAACACGGCTACAGGCTGCTGACGAGTATGATTGCCAACGATACTTTGGCCAGCGATTTTCGCTCATGGAAGGCGCTGCGGGCACTACCAGTTCTGCCTAAGGTGAAGAACTTTCTATGGAGATGTGTCCGTGATGTGCTGCCGGTACGAGACGATGAGATCAACAAAAACTGCATTGACTGAACAGTAGCAAAGATAATACAATAATAGAGTAATCTACGTTAACTAACCCTATACAATAGGCGAGCCATAAGACTCTAACTTATTGACTTATTCAGATAGTACAGGGAAATATAACATTAATAATATGGATCGGAGGAGGGTGTCCTATGTGCGGTCATATAACGGAGACGATGTGTCACCTGTTTTGTGAGTGTGTTTTTGCGAAAGGTATATGGGAACAAGATGACGTGCTGTGTGGACGTGACCTGTTGGAATTCATAGACCAAACTGTAAGCAGCCCAACGAGAGATGCTGCAGCAAAGATGGCAGCGATGTTTTGGGTTATTTGGCAAGCTCGGAATGACGTAGTATGGAACGACAAAGCCCCAAATTAAACATTGTGCTGACACGGAAGCATGCTACAGATCTTCGGACTACTTGGCATACGGTCTACTCTATCCGCGGTCTGCTGATGCCAAACTCATTAATGCCGACACAATGGGTTCCGCCCCCGGAGAACAAGCTCAAATGTAATGTGGATGCGGCCTTATTTGTGGATGGTGCGGGCTTTGCTGCCGTGATTCGTGACCACAATGGCTCCTTTGTTGCGGCTAAGAAAGGTCGCCTGGGTAGCGAACGGGACCCGTACGTGGCGGAGGCACTTGCGGTTTCGGCAACATTGACTTGGCTCAAGGAACAAAATTTTAATAACATTTTGCTTGAGTCTGATTGTTTAAATTTATGCAATGCTTTCATTTCTGGTAGTGTAGACTTTTCTTATGTTGGTTTGATTGTTAAGCAATGTCAGTCGATTGCTAAGGACATTGAGAGTATTTCTGTTTCCCATGTCAAGAGATCAGCGAATTGTGTAGCCCATGAGTTAGCTCGGGCGACCGGTTCTATGTCTGGCTCGGAGGTGTGATTTATCAACCCGCCCGATTGTATTTCCACTTTGTTGAGTTGTTAATGAAAGTTACCTTCTTTGTTTCAAAAAAGAATTAATATCTAAAACGATCTATCAACTATATTATAATATATCTTCAACTTGATTATCGAGTCTTAATGAATATGGTAATAAACCACAAATGTTTTGACGTATCCCTCAAGTCTGGAAGTATTATTCCATTCAACTCACATTTACATATTTTATAGGAGTCAATTCAATTTTTGGTCCTAGATTTATAGGCGACAATCCACTTTAAGTTTTTTTTTTAATTTTTTTAATTAGAATATTTATTTTTGGTCCTAATATTATTGTGGCATGACTAATTTTTGTCCTTTATCAACAAAACAGTTTAAATATCGTTAAATACAATGACATTTCGATGTTCAATTATGAATTTTTTCATAAAAATAAACATAAAAAATATAGCGGTTCAACCTACTTTGTATAAAAAAGATTGAAATGTCTTTGTATTTAACGGCATTTCAACGGTTTTTTGAAAGAAAACTAAAAATAGTCATGTCACAATAATACTAGGACTAAATGAGGATGTTCTAATAAAAAAAGGACTAAAAGTGGACTATCACCTATAAATATAGGACAAAAAATGGAATTAACTCTTTTATTTATTAGTAACAATTTGTGGTTGTCTTTTCTAATAGCACTAATATTTTTACCCTGCGTTGCACGAAATGGATTTGTTATAATATTTTAAGAATATTTAGATCGATATATAATTATATAAATTATAACAACGAATATTATATAGTTCAATTGATGAAATGGATTGGATCGATTATGTTTTCTGATGTTATCCTTTCTTGAATTCGAGCAAATAATTGCCCAATTAACTTTTTTTATTATATATTTATTTAATAAAATTAAAGATGAAATTATAAACAATTCTAATATTTGAAAGTATACGTTTATTTGATTATAAAATTAGGGCAAAAGCAGCAGTCAATAAATTGAATAATATATGACTCGTTTGTCTACAATTATCTTGTTAGGAACATATGTATTAGGATTTTGATGATACCAATGTAACTTAGATCGTAAACCCCTAACTTTTTATCATTTCTTTTGATACCTTCGTCTTAGACGAAAGGTGCCATAACTCACCATGTAATTCGTGTTAAGATAGTCAAACACACGAAACTGAGTTATGATCTTCTAGTTAGGTCTACGTGAACGAAAGAAGATCGATGGATTGAAGCAAAAGCTACATCAGCAAGAAAATCCACCTCTCGGATCTTCAACAAATGGAGAGATGCTCCTTTACAGGACGAAAGCAAACTTTCGTGAAAAGACGTTAAGTCCATAATCAGACTGCCAAGACAAACCATCATCTCATAATTCAAGGAGAATGTTGTTTTTGTCTCAGCTGATGAATCATCCTAGGAACAAGATATCCTAAGGACAAGGAGCACACAAATCAAGGTGCATTAAATGCCATTGTACCTCTTTTCAGAAGCTAGAAGACAAAACTTGTTGAAGTTCTTGCCTCCAACAACTACAAGGTACAACCGCATTTAATGGAGCATTAAATGCGCCAAGCTCCCCGAATATTAACCATTGGTCCATAGGTTTGAAATACCATCTCCCTCCAACGGATGGATATTTCTTCTCCTATAAATACCCATCTTCTCCATTGTAGAAGTTGCTGGTTTTTATATCAACTGATTATACATATTCAAAAGCTCCTTATACAAGTTCACTTTCTCAAGCTTTTGAAAACCAGTGTGTCAAGGTTTGAAGTTTACAAGAAGAATTATCAGAGTTCACTTTCACAACCTTGAAGAAGTCTTGCATCTTATATACGTTGATCATCCATCATTCAACCAGTCAGCCAAGACTTCAACCTGTTGGAGAAACACGCAAATCTTTTCTAACAACCCTCAACTCTGAAGAAGACGTTGATAGAGGCGGAGTAAACTCTAGGAGTTGAAAAACCTTCAAGTAGCTGTCCGGCTTAGTGATCAAGGAAGCTAGCTTGGTGTAGTTTGTACTAGGAGTGATAGTGCAAACCTTTCACAAGTTGTGGAAGAAGAGTGGAGTAGGCACAGTTGGCCGAACCACTATAAAAATCTCTCGACTCTCTCTCTTTACTTATTTTGTTCTTTACTTTCGTGCATCGCATATCATTTCCTCTCAAAACCGAAAGTTTTCTAAAGTAACAAACAGTGCAAATCAATATAAAAATAGGTTAACGAATCCGCTGCGTAATAACCTCAAAAGGAGTTATTTCGGTAAAAATCGAGTTGAGTCTATTCACCCCCGGCCCTCTAGACTCTCCTTTCGACCGTACCAGGACCAACAAGTGGTATCAGAGCAGTTACCTTGATCGGTAAATGCTTTGCCTTTACTGCGTGGTAGATTCCTTCTTAAAATTCTCTGAAATTTCATCTTTTCGTCTTTGCACTATTTTTACAAAGAGAAAATGTAAAAAGATCATTCTAACTGATCTAGGCTTCTTGCCTTCAATTTGTCTAAATTTGATGACTGGAAAGTGAGAATGCAGGCACATCTTTCGGCTATCCACGACAAAATGTGGGACGTGATAACCACATGACCTATCATTGTTATGATGGTGAACACTCAAGCTGTTGCACAAGGAGTAGATGCAGAACCCATGATACCTAAGCCGAAATCTCAGCTCAACTCAGATGAGAAAACTCGAGCAAATTTGGACAACGTGGCACATGATATTCTCTACAAATCTCTGGATGACTCCTTATTCCCGAGAGTACGGAAGTGCAAAACTACTATGGAAATCTGGAACGTTCTCATGAATCTGGGAGAAGGAGATGAGCTGGAGAAAGACAATAAACTCACCGTGGCCATGAAGAAATTTGAAGACTTCAAAATAATGCCCAACGAAGCTATCACTGACATGGAGCTCAGATTCACAAAGCTTATGGGTGATCTCTCGGACCTTGGAAAGGAGCTGACCGAAAAAGAAAAAAACTTAAAGATTCTTCGAGGACTCCCAAAATCTTGGGATATGAAGGTTACAGCCATGAGAGATCATAGAGATATTAAAACTACAAGCACCAATAAGATCTTCAGTGATCTTAAGGCATATGAATTCGAGCATGAGCCAAAAGAATCAGAGGAGCTCAAAACAAGGAACATAGCACTAGTGGCCAACCAACAAGCATCAACGTCTAACAGGTCAAACTCTAACTCTTGTGATTTCTTATCTGACGAACAGTATGCTTTGTTTGTGAGGAAAATGAAAAGTTTTATGAGAAAGAACAACTTCCAAGACTTCTAACGTTCATCAAACCGAAGACCACTAGTACAAAATTGAACATAGAAGATTGACCATAGGCCACCATTATTAAAAGAATGGTTGCCTAATCTTAGTCCAAAAATTCGCGGTGGCAATTTTGTAAATAAGTGATCAATAATGCGCCACCATTATTAGCTGCAATGGTTGTCCATTGCATTTTTTTATGCATTATAAAAAAAATTAAAAATATTACTTTATAATAGACAACCATTTCTAAAAGAAATGGTTGCCTTAAAAAACAAATTGCTTTATATTAGCCAACCATTTTTAAGAGAAATGGTTGCTTAATTTTAACCCAGATCTAATAATCTCCCAAGACGACGCTTCACTGCTTCAGCTTCTTCAGATCTGTCATCTGCTTCAGCTTCACGTACGTCGAACACCCGCACCGTCGTTCACACCGCCGTTCACACCACCGACGTCGCACACCGGCCACCACCGTCGCACACCACCACCGTAGACGTCGCGACACACAGTACACCACCGTCGCACAACACCCACCACCGCTACGCCGATGCCACAGCACCCTCCACAACAAAATGGAGTGACCGAAAGAAGAAACAGAACCCTAAAAGAAGCAGCATGTACTATGATCGAACACTCTGGTCTGCCTAAACGATTTTGGGCTGAAGCCATAACAACAGCATGCTACACGCAGAATCGATCATTGATCAACAAAACTCACAACCTGACTCCATACGAGCTATGGAAAGGTAAGAAACCTATTATCAGTTATTTTCACATTTTTGGTTGCAGGTGTTTTATTCACAACAATGGAAAAAATCGTCTAAGAGCCTTTGACGAAAGAGCCGATGAAGCATTATTTATGGGTTATTCCTCAGTAAGATGAAAAGATCCCAGTTGAGACTAAAACTTCCAATACACCAAGTTCAAGCTCTCAAGAAAATATAACAAATGAAGAAGAAGATTCAGACCTTGAAGATCATCTTCCATCCTACACGAGATATCAATCAAAATCAAGAGAACCCGAAACCAGAGTTCAAACTGATGTAGGCACACAAAGCATAGTTCCTGATGTTCAAACTGCCTCCGAACCAATGATATACATGATCTACCTTACATTCCCGAAATGGATGCTCAAAATCAACAAACATCCTTTGTACCTGATTTGAGATGGCTAAGAGATCATCCACCCGATTAAGTTATTGGAAATGTTCAAGAAGGAGTAAGAACTCGAGCTTCTATACACGAAAACATGATGGCTTGCTTTCTGTCGCAAATGGAACCAAAATCTATTAAAGAAGCTTTAAATGATCCAGATTGGGTCACAGCTATGCAAGAAGAACTTCATCAATTTGAACGAACTAATGTCTGGGAACTTGTTACTAGACCTACCCATCAAAACGTCATTGGAAACAAGTGGGTGTTTAGAAATAAAATGAGTGAAGATGGCCTAATTGTTAGGAACAAAGCTCGACTTGTTGCTAAAGGCTACTGCCAAGAAGAAGGCATTGATTTTGATGAAACATTCGCTCCCGTTGCTAGACTTGAAGCAATAAGAATGTTCTTAGCTTATGCAGCTTACAAAGACTTCAAAGTTTACCAAATGGACGTAAAAAGTGCGTTCCTAAATGGTATTTTAGAAGAAGAAGTCTATGTAGAACAACCACCTGTTTTCGCCATAGATTGTGAGCATGAAAAAGTATACCATCTCAAGAAAGCTCTATATGGACTCAAACAAGCTCCACGAGCATTGTATGACACTCTATCATACTTTCTTATAAATTGTGGATTCACGAAAGGAGCTGTGGACAAAACACTCTTTCGAATCAAAAATGATGATCATGTGTTACTTGTACAAATCTATGTTGACGATATCATTTTCGGATGCACGAATCCTGATCTATGTGAAAAATTCTCAAATCTCATGCAAGAGAAATTTGAAATGAGCATGATGGGAGAATTAAATTACTTCCTCGGATTACAAGTTAAACAATGTCCAGATGGGATATTCATCAATCAAGCTAAATATACAAAAGACTTGATCCGAAAGTTTAGAATTGATGGAAAATCATCGGTCAAAATCCCTATGAGCACATCGCTAAGAATGGAAATTGACAACGAAGGGAAGGATGTGGATCAAAAGAATTTTTGTGGAATTATTGGATCCCTTCTCTACCGAACAGCAAGCAGACCTGACATTTCGTTTGCTGTTGGGGTATGTACAAGGTTTCAGTCAAAACCGAAAGAAAGTCATTTGAGCGCTACCAAAAAGATTCTAAGATACCTTAAAGGAACTCAAAGTGTAGGACTTTGGTACCCGAAAGGAGATTTTTTTTTATCTTGTTGGATACTCAGATGCTGATTTTGCTGGTTGCAGGATTGATCGAAAAAACACCTCGGGAACCTGCCAGTTCCTAGGGGGAAGACTTGTATCATGGTTTAGCAAGAAACAAAATTCTATCGCAACTAGCACAGCTGAAGCCGAATACATTACGGCTGGCTGCTATTGTGCTCAAATTTTATGGATGACACACCAATTGAGAGATTATGGTGTAATAGCACGAGAAGTGTGCATCAAATGTGAAAATACAAGTGCTATAGCCATTACACAAAATCCTGTTCTACACTCTCGAACAAAACACATCGACATCAAGTATCACTTTATTCGTGATCACGTTGAAAGAAAGTGTAACACCCCGAAATTTTGAAACTTTTAAAACTTATATAATAAAGGTAATTCCTCATTAAATCCCAAAATCAAGCATAAGAGTATGGGATGCTATGCCACACCTGAGCTAGAGAACTCAGGTGCACATGCTAACTAACTAAAATCCTCAAATAACGTCAATACATAATCATGGCACGCAGGCCGAAAGGGAACTAGCTACTCTACGCCTCGGATCTCTAGCGCGTTCTGGGATATACTCATCTGTGCCTGAAAGCCAAATATATCTGTTCAGCGAGAGATGCTGGTAACCCACTCCAACGCGTTGAAATACAATATAGATAGATATACGAAAATCATTTTGAAGCAGGAAGATATATACTTAAGAGACACTAGTTTTAAAACCGGGAATAGACTCAGCAAGTAGGGACAAGCACATCAAACAATGATAAACAGTTAAGTAGAGATAGCATTATAAGGAATACGCATCTAAGGTCACAAAACACTTTTTGATTCAAACACATCATCATTCAATCATCATTCATATCACATAATCGTTGATGGCGCCACGGGACCAATCGCATGCCCCGAACATGAGGGTTAATGCTTATAGCATTAACACGGCCACGCAGCACCCTACCTCAGTACCGTGGTATGAGGGGAGTTGATCGCAACCAACCCTTTGAGAACCGCTGACGAACTCAACGTCGGACCACGATCTGACACACCGCTGACGAGCACAGTCGGTGGACCGCGATCCCCTTTACAAGGGGGAACTTATGACCCTACACACCGTTAATGCGTACAGTCGGTGGACCGTAGCAGATCAAGCCCGACACACCGCTGAGCTAGACTCAGTCGGTGGGCGAAGATCCTCGGAGGCTACGGCCCTACACACCGCTGTCCCATCACTCGGTGGATCGCAGCCAACCGTAGCCCTACACCGCCTGATTACTCAGGTCGGTGGACTACAGCCTTCCTCAGCTTATTGGCCCTACACACCGCCTGGCGCGTCCAGGTCGGTGGGTCATAGCACCTAGGCCCATGTGGACCGCAGCCCAAGAAGTGAATCAATTCGGCCTTTAGCCAAATTCTGAGCCTTAGCTCAGGAACAATCCATTTGGCTTTCAGCCACTTCCGAACCTTTAGTGCGGGAACAATCCATTCAGCCTTCAGCCGACTTCCGTACCTCAATCCGGGAATCACCCAATTGGTCTGTAACCAAAATGGGGGATCATGCAACACATAACACATAGGAGCACGTAATAGCATATTGGGAGGGGAAAGACATATAAATAAATTTACGTGTGGTCATTCACATACTAAGAATAGTCCTAAGAGTTCATACAACTTCCACCTAGGTCAACGGGTTACCAATTCCACTAGCATGCAATTCCTAAGACTCATTTAACCTACGAATGGTACCCGAAATGTCAAACTAGAGTCAAGCATGACAAACGGGGTCCGTTGGGACACCATGGGGGAGCGGGGAACATCAAACGGGGAAGCCAAAGACCCGGGGTGGGGTACGGACCAGCAGGTAGCCGGCAGGTGGGGGTCACCCGCCAGCTGCCCGTCGGAGGGCACTGTTCTGGGCAGCGGGTTGCCGGCGGGCAGGCGGCTGCCCGGTGGCTGCCCGCTGCCGGGCGGTGTCCTTCGGGCAGTGGGTAGGTGGCGGGTTCCCCTACCCCCACCTACCCCCCACTGACTCTTTTCTCATATATTCGTCCCGGGAACCTTTGTGGAACCCGAAACCATGCTTAGACACTTTTAAACGCGAATAACGACACCACGTAAGCAATTAACAGATTAAAAGCAAGAATCACGTAGGACTTATCCTATTACGACTTCTAAATATAAACAACACCCGAACATGTGAATTCCCACCCAAATATATATCAAGAACATCCCAACACAAAATTCCCAATCCAATCTAGGACTCTAATCCCACCCAAATCATCAAGATTATATTTTATCTTTAACATCCAGGAATATCAAGATTCGTCAAGAATTGTCACATCAATATCAAGAACTTCTTCTCAATATCAAGATCATCAAGATTATCAAGAATGCACATAAATCATCTTATCAATCATCAAGAACATATCAGAATTAACATAGAAGAATTTATCAAGACACAAGAATATAGAGGGAGGCCAAAGAAGGAGATTATAGCGAAGAATATAGGTTTTGTTGAGACATGGGTTACCTCTTAGCTTTAATTAATTTCCTTGGCTATGAAGGGTCTTTCTTTAAGATTCCTTCTTTCTTGATTTCTCCTAAGGGAATTCTTGGAACTTCTTGTGTGGTGAGAGATTATTGTGGTGTAAGATCTAGGTGCCTCCTATGTCCCTATTTATAAATTTAAGAGTCCTAATTAGGGTCTAAGTGGTATGGGTTTGCTAATTCTATTTCCTATAGGACTAGGGGATTGGTTTTAGGGATAAGGGCCCATGGACCATGGTGGACCCCTCTTTAGCTAATTAATGGATTTTAATTCCCTTTTTAGGGTGGGTGATAATTTAATTAATTTTAATTTAGGGGCCGTAACACGGGGTGTTACAGGAAGGACATCTCTCTTGAATATGTCAATACAGATGACCAACTAGCAAATATTCTCACTAAACCACTCTGTGAGAATAGGTCACTTCGACACAAAATTGGAATGATTGAAATGACATAACTAGCTTGCGTGTCAAGAAGTTCTTTCTCAAAAGATTCCTGGA